ATTCTTGAGGAGGCCCACAGTTCCCGGTATTCTATTCACCCAAGCGCCGCCAAGATGTATCAGGACTTGACGCAAAATTATTGGTGGAGGAGAATGAAGAAAGATATAGTTTCATATGTAGCTCGGTGTCTAAATTGTCAGCAGGTAAAGTGTGGGCATCAGAGACTCGGTGGTTTGCTTCAGAAGTTGGAGATTCTTGAGTGGAAGGGGGAGCGTATCTCTATGGATTTCGTTGTTGGAATCCCACGGACTCAGAGGAAGTTCGATGTAGTTTGGGTCATTATGGACAGGCTGACCAAGTCAGCGCACTTCATTCCTATGGCAGTTATTTATTCTTCAGAGTGGTTGGCAGAGATTTATATCTGCGAGATCGTCGGTCTTCATGGTGTGCCTGTGTCTATCATTTCTGATCGAGGTACGTAGTTCACCTCGCACTTCTGGAGGGCATTACAGCGTGAGTTGGGCACTCAGGTTGAGCTGAACATAGCATTTCATCCTCAAATGTACGGACAGTCCGAGCGCACTATTCAGATATTGGAGTATATGCTCCGCGCTTGTGTTATATACTTCGGAGGTTCTTGGGATCAGTTCTTGCCGCTTGTAGAGTTTGCCTACAACAACAGTTACAAGTCGAGCATTTAGATGGCTCCCTATGAAGCATTATATGGTAGGCGGTACTGATCACCAATTGGATGGTTTGAACCGGGGGAGGCTCGGTTGTTGGGTATGGACTTAGTATAGGATGCCTTGGATAAGGTCAAGATTGTTCAGGATCGACTTTGCAGAGCTCCGTCCAGGAAAATGAGTTATGTTGATCGTAGAGTTCGTAATGTTTCATTCATGGTCGGAGAGAGAGTGTTGCTCCGGGTATCACCCATGAAGGGTGTGATGAGGTTCAGAAAGAATGGCAATTTAAGTCCTAGGTATATCGGACCTTTTGAGATTCTTGAGCAAGTGGGAGAGGTGGCCTACAGACTTGCGTTGCCACTTGGTTTATCAGTAGTTCATCCGGTGTTCCATGTGTCCATGCTCCGGAAGCATCACGGCGATCCATCCCACGTGTTACATTTCAGCACTGTCCACTTGGACAAGGATTTGACTTATGAGGAGGAGCCGGTGGCTATTCTAGCCCGACAGGTTCGCCAGTTGAGATTGAAGAGTTATCCTTCATTTCGAGTGCAGTGGAGCGGTCAACCCGTTGAGGCAGCTACCTGGGAGTCCGAATCGAACATGCGGAGTAGATATCCTTACTTTTCACTAGTCCAGGTACTTTTCTATGTCCGTTCGAGGACGAACAGTTGTTTTAGAGGTGGAGAATGTGATGACCCAAAAGGTCATCTTATGTTTTAGAACCCAATTCTGCACTTTTAAGCTTTAAATACCTTATTTTATCCCTCCTCGATTTGCGTGCACAGTCCGAGCGTGTTTACGAAAAGCTTTTATGCTAAAAACTGATAAAAACAAGAATTTTATTTAAAACTTCATTTGAGTTGACTTTGGTCAACATTTTAGTAAATGAACCCGGATTCGTATTTTGACGGTCCCGGTGGCTCTGTATCGCGATTTGGGACTTGAGCATATGCCCGGAATCGAATTCAGAAGTCCCTAGCCCGAGATGTCAGACTTTATCGAAATTGATTAATTATCGGGTAACAGGACATTACCTAATTACCTAATAAGTGGATAAAGATTAATAATTCCCACCCCCACCCCCACGTGGTAGCAAGCTACTACTAAAGCCTATGACTCTTAGTCATATTGGCTTAGTGGCCATCTAAAGTAATAAGACATTTACGTGTAAGTAAGTGTAAGACATTATAGATTTGGTTTCATAAGACATTGCAAAGTTTTGTTTCTTCCTAAATTCATATTCAAGACAGTTTCAAATCAGGCGCTCAAACTTCATCCAACAAGCTTTCAACGAGACTCTTGCAACCAAACAATTCCAACGAGAATTGTTAGAACCGTAGCAACGTAAAATTTTGCGGTTCTAAAGGAGTACGGTGCAATCTTTTCCAAGAACATTATACGGATTTTTTCCTACTCCAGGTATGTTAAGACTAAGCCCTTCTTTCCTTTGGCATGATCTATACGACATGAACGAAACGAGAAAATGCACAACTTCCATAAATGACTCTATTCATAGAAGTATTTGAGGTACCTATGTTCTTGATTCTCCATGTGTCTTATTATTCTTTCGTCTGTTCATGGGTCTCAGAAAATACGTAAGTTGATAAAGTTTACTTCATGATATTAATCAAAGGCAAAATGGTCTTATGCCACGAAAAATATAATTTTAGTATATTAATGCTAATCAAATGTCAACTTTGAACAGATTATGGTATAGTCATCGGGCAATCATTGGTCAACATGTAAACATAAAGTTTACATACTACAAACTCTCATAGGAATAATATAAAGGATCTTACTTTTACTTTTTAATCTTAAATATAAAATTTACACGAGAGATGTTTATTACTTATATATATCTTTAACTACTTCTCCCTTAAAACTGTGAAAAGATCTTAAAATAATTATTAATGTTTTCATGTTCAATTTGTTTATATATGAAGGATTTTATTGACGTACTTCTCATGCATTGCATTCATTTATACATGTACATTTATTCATGAACAGACGGTATTATACATGCGTATATATGTATATACATGCATATGGAAAATGGAAAAAGGTTACGGAGTTATATACGCACCACCACCTGATCAGTTGGTATATGTTGATGATTTTGGGGACAGTGGCCGAGGTGATATGATGGGTTGCCCTCAGAGGCTTGATGATGTTATGTACACCTATACCTATGCATGACACGACATTTACACTCATGTGCATGTTGTTATAATTGTTTCAGGATTTGCAAAGTTATGTAAACTTACAGGCAAAATTCCATATTCTATGTTTCATCTATGTCTCTTATGTACTGATTTTCATGCCTTACATACTCAGTACATTAGTCGTACTGACGCCCTATTTTCCCGGGGCCTGCATTTCATGCCCGCAGGTTGTACTGATACTATACTCTGCATTACTTGTGCAGATTTTGGAGTCGGTCCCAGCGACGGCTACTAGAGAGCTCGGATCGGACAACCTGCGGAGACTTGAGCAACCCTTTCTTGTTTTTTTTATTTAGCTGTGTATCTTCTTTTCAGACAGCTTACTGTTATTCTAGTAGCCCCTGCACTCGTGACATTGGGTTCAGGAATTTGTAGTAGATGTTTACAGTTTTAGCTTCCGTATTTATAAATTTTGGATTATTGCAGTTGAATCGGTTCTTATTCATTAATAAATGTTAGACTGTTAAAAGATAAATTGTTCTAACGTTGGCTTGCCTAGCAAGTGAAATGTTAGGCACCATCACGGTCCCGATGGTAGGAATTCCGGGTCGTGACTAGTTTGTATCAAAGCACTAGATTACATAGGTCTCACGAATCACGAGCAAACTTAGTAGAGTCTGAAGGATCAGTAAGAGACGTCTGTACTTATCATCCAGAGGCTATGAAATTAGGAACAATTTCATTTCTATACTTTTCTATCATGTGATTTTTATTCTATCATTGCTAATTGAACCCTTTTATTTTGTTCTCTGGATGGCGAGAACTTGTATCTAGCGAGATATTTTTCTATGTATATTTTGGATTTGAAGTACACATCGAAAATCTGGCCTAGTGAAACGTCTGTCCCATATTTGGGGAACACTTATATATTTCATCCCTATCAAATCCTTTTCCTTCTTAATTTAATGATTTGGAAAAATTGATAGGTTTTACGTGAAATTTATATCAAAGAAGAAAACAATGACATGAATGAGTTTTACAGGTTTAATGTTTTGGCCCCTCAGTGGACACTCCTTTTAAAAAATTTCGTTTCAATCCTATTATTTTTTTCAACACTTTTTAATAACTAAGAACTATTATTACATTTACAGTCATGTACCTTTTTTTCAGTTTTCAGCCACATTAAAGACTGTTTCTTGTGTCTCTTATCCTATGGCCAGGGGCGGATTTATATGGATCCAAGTGGTGTCGCGGGATATTGCTTCGTCGAATTTTTTTATTATTTATATATATAAAAATAATAAGTAAAATAGAAATACAAGATAAAAACATTAAAAGTAACACCACTTGTAACAAAACAACTTAGTAGTCTAGTGGTTGATAGCTTTAAGTTTGTTGTGATAGGTCTTGGGTTCAAATTCTCTTGGCTCCACAAATTTTTTTTTGACTGTTACGGGCCTCTTACTAAAAATAGTGACACCGCTTATGAAATATTCTGCGTACGCTATTTCAACAATGACGTATGTGATTCCATAAGTGGGTCGGAAGGTATGGTGTATATAATCTTACCCTTACTTTGTGTGAGGTAAAGACGATAAATTATCGACTCAAGAAAAGCGTTTCCAAAACATATTTAAAAATATAAATATGTGATAAAAATACCGAAAAAAGAAAAGTATTAACTGCAAACATTACTATACGGATAATATTTGAGTGCACAAAATATGGACATGAGTTCGTGAAATTATAGTATTTCTAGCCAAAACTACGTTTCTCATGCCCGCTTATGAATTTGCAAGAGTGAAAAAGAATCGATATTGTAATAATATAATACCAAATTTCACATCACTTTCCTTTTAATTAGAAAATCAATAAGATTTGATACTATATTGAAAAACAAGTATTGATAAAAAAATAAAAAATATATATATATTATTGTAGAATTATTATATTACACATTTACATGTTAAATTTATTATCCAAATTTTCCATTTTATAATTTAAAGTAAGATACATAATGAAGAAGAGAACGATAGTGGAGCCACTTTTAACCAAGAGAATGTCAATTGACACTCCTCATCTCAAAATTACACTTTATTTGTATCCACAAAACATAATGAGTACTAGGTTAGTTGCCAACTTTCATTTGTATCCACAAAACAAATATGGTACCACTACAAAATCTTTTCTTACAAAAAAAACATGCTTTTCTCATGCCAAAACACAAAACTCCCAACTTTAACTCTGTTTAAATTCTCATAACATTGTTTCTTTCACCAAGTCATTTGAACTAATTATTTCAACTAGTACTCCTCCTTCTTTTTCTTCTTCTTCTCCATAATAATGAATTCGGGCGGTCACAAGGTCATTTCTTGTAAAGGTGAAATTTTCTCTCTACTTATTAGGAAATAAAAAAAGAAAATATTTTTGTCTTCCAACGAGTGACAAAATCAGAAATTTCACTAAGGGGTGTACATAATATATACGGTAATATATATATATAATTTGACCTATGTGCAATAGTATAATTTTTTGATGAAGTTTGTTCAACTAACCATCCTTGGTGGTTGTAGCTTCACTCGTGAATGGTTAAGCGAGTAATTAATATTTTATTTTTATTTTGATGGTATATATATATATATATATATATATATATATATATATATATATATATATATATATATATATATATCAATTAATGGCTGATTTAATTTAATTTGCACCAAAAAATGCAGCTGCAGTAGTATGGAAATCAGGAGAGGAATTGAAATTGGAAGAAATAGAAGTGGATCCACCAAATTCTACAGAAGTTAGAATTAAGATGATTTATGCAAGTCTGTGTGGAACTGATGTATTATGCTGCAATGGCTTTCCTAAGGTGGGTTTGTTTTCTCTTGAATCAACGTCGGACGGTCCGACCTATGCTGTTCGGATTCTTCAAAATGTTGTTGAGTGTGTGTCCGATCCTTCAAAAGTTATGTATTTTTGAAGATCCGGCACGAGTGCAACAACATATTTGGAGAGTACAAGCCGCGTAACATATGCCAATATTTTTATAAGTAATCTTTAATTTGTCATATTACACACATATATTAATTTCTAACCATCTCTCTATTTTATTTTTCTTCCTTTTTGGTTCTTTTTTGTTGTCTCAATTCCCAGCCTTTGTTTCCTCGCATTCCTGGGCATGAAGGAGTTGGGTAAATCTCTCTCTCTCTCACTCACTCTCACTCAACACAGGCAAACACTTTTTTTTTTAATTTTGGTTTTTTCACCTAGTGTTCGGAACTCGCATTTTGTCTCGTTTAATTGGATTAACGCCGCGTAATAAGGCTCATTATTAGAGGGGGAAGTCCTCCCTACCAAAAAAAAAAAAAAAAAATCCATTCGTAGGGATCAAATCCAAGAAAGATGGACTATAATTAAGAGTGAAGAGATCCTATCCACCTCTCCACAACCCTCGGTGGTAACACGGACAAATATATTTAATTTGCTTCAAAAAGTAATATTATATATACTATTAAATGATTTGTATTACAATATAATTAGGGAAATTTGTAGTAGTCTTATAGCCTGTTTGGCCAAGTTGCAAAAATCAGCTTATTTTGAGAAGTGATTTTCTCAAAAGTACTTTTGGTGAGAAGCAGCTTGTGTTTGGATAATTAATTTGAAAAATACTTCCGAGCAATAATTAGTGTTTGGCCAAGCTTTTAAAAACTGCTTCTAAGTGTATTATTTTTCTCAAAAGTGCTTTTCCAAAATGTGCTTGTGGAGAGAAGCTATTTTTTTCTGCTTCTCTTCAAAAGCATTTTTTTTTTCTTCCAAAAACTTGACCAAACAACTCAATTATTTGAACTAAAAAAATAGTAGGTCGGATTCACTATTTACTTTTTCTAGCCAGTTTACATAAATCATAGTAATGATTATACACGATTATGTACATAATATACGTGGATTATCCATATATTATACATACACCGGTTATTTTAAGTTTGACTGCTTGGGTAGGCGGTTATTTAAGTTAATTCCCTGTCGAGGCCTTGGTGGATAGAGTTACCCGTACTTGTAGTGGTGGGAGATAGCAGGTACTCTTTGGAAGTAGTCGAGGTGCACGCAAGATCAAGAGCGGAGCTAGCCCTCTGCTTACGCGTTCGGTCGAACCCAGTAGCTGTTATGAAATATGTACAAATTATTATTTTAGAACCCAATAACTTAAAAGAACTAGAGTCCCGAACCCATAATAAGTTTCAAATCCTGGCTCCGCCTCTGTGCAAGCTGGTCCGACCCCACAATAAAAAAAAATGTACTTAGAAACTTAGAAATTTCTTCCAAGTTAATATTGTGCATTTCTTCAATGATTTTTTTTTTTTTTTTTTTTTTTTTTTTTTTTTTTTTTGCAGTGTGGTAGAAAGTGTGGGTGAAAAGGTCAAAAATTTAAAAGAAGGAGACATAGTGATACCACATTTCTTGGGAGAATGTGGAGAATGTCCCAATTGCAAGTCTAAAAAGTCCAATTTATGCCACAAATACCCTTTAAATTTCAGTGGATTATTGTTGGATGGAACATCAAGAATGTCAATTAAAGGCCAAAGGATTTATCACCATGTTAGCTGCTCAACATTATCAGAATACTTAGTTGTTGATGAAAACTATGTTATTAAGGTTGATCCTAGGCTCCCTGTTGAGCATGCTGCTTTCCTTTGTTGTGCATTTACTACTGGATTTGGAGCAACATTTAAGGATGTTAATATTGAAAAAGGATCAACTGTTGCTGTTCTTGGTCTTGGAGGTGTTGGACTTGGTGTAAGTATATTCACTAAATAATTCCGTTATTATTTAATGACTCTATCATTATAATCTCGAGATAATTAACACTATTAAGGGCAGCTAGGTGCACAAAGTATTTAGCGTTCATGCAGGGTCGGGGGAAGGGTTGCACCCCAAGGGGTGTGATGTAGACAACCTATCCTAATACAAGTATCAGTGGCTGATTTTATGGTTCGAACGCATGACCTATAGGTCACACGGAGACAACTTGACTGTTGCTCCAAGGTTTTCCTTCAAATGACCCCAAGTGTTCTCAACCTACACTTTACCCTTAAACTTTTGAATAATTGTAAACACATTTTATATCCTTGAGTTTCTTGAATTCTAAGTGATTAATTTTCCAAAAGGTAATAGTTTGTATTTAAAGTGAAATTTTCATTCCCCATCCTAACTAATATTGATTAAAAGAGTAGAATTTGCGAGGAATTATTTTAAATAATACTATAGCTTTGTTGACAAAAGCTACTGAGAGGTGAGGTATTTGTTTTCCAAAGCCAGATCAAAACACTTATTTAGTTATTTGGTAGTTTAGTTATAAGCTTTTTAAATACACACGGATACTTTCAAAAAAATTTACACTATCAATATAATTTAACATGTTATAACATTTACCAATAACACTATCAATTGCTAATAGTATATACTTATCATAGAGATGTACCTATAGCCATTGCTTCTTTTCTTTAGCCGAGGGTCTATCCAAAACAGCTTCTCTATCCTTCCAGGGTAGGGGTAAGGCTGCGAACATCCTATCTTGTTCCTAGACCCTACTTGTGGGAATTCATTGGATTTGTTATTGTTGTTGTTGTTGTATAGAGATGTACTTATATAATTGTTGTACTATGAATTGATTGTGTAAATATCTTTTATACTGTTAGTAGAGACAGATCTAGGATTTCTAATGTATGAGTGCACTACTAAACAAAAGGAGAAAAAATGCATTAAGTGAGAATTGATTCCTATTCTTCTTGGTAAATAACTCAACCTTCAACAAGGTCTACCATTCAACATTCGTGGAGCATGGGTGCCAACAATTAATATTATATCAATTCTAAAATATCTAATTTTGCGAAGAGGCCATGGGTTCACGTGCCCTATAATTTTCGCGTAAATTCGCCCCCTGATTGTTAGTGCTTAGAAGGTGAACTCTTTTCTTTTTTGTTTTGGTTTCTCACCCGGTGTTCGGTATCCGCATTGGAGGCCTACTATATGCGGATTCGCGCCGCGTAGGACCCCATTCGGGGGGAAGCGCTCCCTACCAAGAATTCTTCCATACCTAGGGCTCGAACTCGAGACCTCTGGTTAAGGGAAGAGCAGTCCCATCCACTGCACCACATCCTTTGGCGGTGAACTCTCTTTTCTTAAAGAACATGGAGTAATTCATTTCTCTTTTTTGTCTTTTAACTTTTCTCACAATTTCTAAAGAAATATTATTCTTGAAAATACAGGTAGTAGAAGGAGCTAAACAAAAAGAAGCAGCCAAAATTATTGGGATTGATATACACGAAATGAAGAGTGAAAAAGCAAAAAAATTTGGAATTACTGATTTTATAAATATTAAAGTCAGTGAAAAATCAGTTTCAGAATTAGTTAAAGATGCCACTGGTGGACTTGGTGTTGACTACTTCTTTGAGTGTACAAATGTGCCTGACCTTATGATCAATGAAGCCATTCAATCCACAAGAATGGTATGTTTACATCATCCTACAAAATATTATCAAATTTTACAATATTTAGAGAGGAAATATAATTTTTGTTAAAGAAATTAAGCATATACGTTCTAGAATAGTAAAATAATTTGGCCGATCATATACTTTACGCTAGAATTTGGACATAAAAATTGTAATTTTAAGGAAAAAAAAATAGTATTTGGAGTTAAGTTGAAAATTTGTATTTGGAATTTGAAATTATGTTTTGACCATGCATTTCACTTGAAAAAATATTGCAATTATGTGAGTGGGAAAAAAAAATCTAAATTTTTTGAAAAAGTGGCTTAAAAATCTCATTTTCGAAAAATTCCCAAAAACTTGCAAAATTTTATGGATAAACATTTTTTAATTTTTATTTTATTTTATGGACAAACGGGGCTTTAAGAGAAAGATGGCGGTAGATCTTTATTTTTTTGGCTATAATATCCCTTTAGAGGCTCGTATATACATTTGTCCAAAAATCTAATTATATAATAGCTAGGCATAGCTTAAAACCTTTAATTAAAACCTCTTTGAGTGCACTAATTTACCAAATATGTCAGTATGTTACATTGTATAACTTCTTTTTTGAAAATTTAAAAACATTATTTTAATTTTTCATTTTGTATTTAATTTTACTATATTAATTAACTATGTTTGTATGACTTGAAAAATATTGGGACAACCAATTATTAGGGTTATGGGACAGTGATACTGCTTGGAGCTGGACTTGAGTTAGATTGGCAAATGAGTTATGTTCCTATCATGTTTGGTCGAACACTCAAAGGATCCATCTATGGTGGCATTAGAACTCGCACAGACCTTCCATCTGTATTTGACAAATGTATTAACAAGGTATGAAATACTAGAAAATATATGTTATTTGGGAAAGATGGTCAAATCATCTAATCTTGACTTTAAATATTATCTCATCAATTTTTATTATTGAAACTTATATATTTGGAAACTACATAGTATCAGAGATGTTTGGAAAAACAAAACCATGTAGTCAAAGAAAAACTTATGAACTTCTCAAATATTAATAATGTCGTATAAAATGGAACATAAAATAGTTTAAGAAGGCGAAAAAAAATCATTGTTGTTATATAAACTAGCAATATATCATGTTTAATTTCTCAAAAAAATTAATAATGTGATATGAGAAAGTACATGCAAACATGTCAAATGGTTGCATAATCTAATTTTATATCTATTGTAAAATAGACCATATAGTGCATAGTACATACTCAATCAAATAACACACAAGCCATTTTTAATTAAATCTTGATTTATATATGCATATTGAATGTAAGTTTTTAACACTTTCTGCAGGAGATCAAACTAGATGAATTATTGACTCATGAAGTTTCACTAAATGATATAAACAAGGCATTTGAGTACTTGAAAGAACCGAATTGTGTGAAGGTTCTTATCAAGTTTTAAGCTCAACCAATCACCCTACCCGCGTCCTCCATAATGGAAGTATGTCGAAACTTTGATCTGTTTACTTCCTACTTTAATAAGATCAAGACGAGGGGTGAACTTTTACTGGACCTCGAGGATCGACTTAAACTTGAAACTGCTTCTATTTTTTGTGATGGATAATGTACTTGCTATATATTAAGGTGGTGTACTGATGTTAAAGATTCAAGTCCAGCAGTGTAGAAAGAGAGAAGAAAAAAAAAACATATATTGAGTTTAAGGGATTGTATTGACATTTGTGCTCTAAACTATGTTAGCTCTTTTGGGAAATAACAAAAGAATTTGGAAACGTTTAAAGATAGATTAATGCTTATCAATGCAAATTCGATTGACCTCTTTTATAGTACAGAAGTTAATCATTTATCCCCTTCATATTAGGTTGGGCGGCCCGGGCACGAAGCATCCTGCATTCATGCAGGATCCGTGGAAAGGCTGCCCAAGGGGATGTGATGTAGGCAACTAACCCTAATGCAAACATCAGTGGCCGATTAGCTGATTCCACTCTCGAACCCGTGACCTATAGGTCACACGGAGATAACTTTACCATTGCTCCTAGGCTCTCCTTCCTTAAGTTGACATATAAAAAAAGATAATCACAGTTAAGTATTTCCAAGTTCCTTAAATTTTGAACCAAGTTCCTCTTTCAATTTAACCATGCTTGGTCTGAAAACATTTGAGGTGAATCTGTGGGTTCTACTTCAAAAGCTCATTACCTTAGCAAAGAGTTTAGTTTACAACAACAACAACAAACCCATTGAAATCCTACAAGTGGGGTCTCGGGAGGGTAGTGTGTATGCAGACCTTACCCCTACCTTGTGTTTCCGATAGATCCTTGGTTCAGTATAGTCGTAGCAACAAAGAGTTTAGTTTGTGTAGGAAAAAGTTATTGGAACTGAAAGATGATCATATCTAGCAGAGTATCAACAGCAATGATAAAGATCCACATTTTATGAGTAACTTCAATTGGTACCCTCAAATATATCGTCAGACAAATGTCTTGCATTCATTTGTTCGCGGACCAGTTTTTTCCTTGTTGCAGTTGTCTCAACTTACTGGTGACCAAAAAAGCCAATTTTAAATGGCCAACTCAGGAGAAACTTGACAGCCAAACATTTCCACAATAAAATTAGCAACAAGCACAGAAGTTGCCACTTCCGTGTATACAATATATATACGCACACGCATGTAAATCTTAAAATTGTTACTGCCAAAAGTTCTACCTTAAAAAGACTTGTTATCTGCAATATTTCAACAGGTAGGAGGAGGGACTTGAAAAACTGTTGTTGCTGTCAAATTTGGTAGTTTCCTTTCCCTTTCCTGGAGTTCCACATTCATTGAAATCGAGTGTGCGTCTCTCACTCTGTAGAGGGAAAGATATATAATCAGATACACAGATCCTAGTTTGTCATTCTGCTGCTATAATGCGAGACAGGGATATAGCTATGTTCCGCGTGACATTTGAGAGAAAAGATTTACTATATTAAAGACTATATGAAGCTACAAGAAAGCTGTGTTCCTAATAAGTCATAACTTACAGTAGAATGATAATGATGGTCAAGTGTTTTAAGTAAAAAACTGCAAGGTTACTGACTTACTGTTTAAAACATGCCAATAAATTAGTATAGGATATAAAAGACTAGAGAAAAAATGAGGAAGAGAAATGTTTAAATAGATTACTATATTTAAACATAACGATTGTGCAAAAACAACAATATATACGGGATATGAAACGTTTTCAGATCAAAAGGAAGCCCGATGCACTAAGCTCCTGCTATGCGCGGGGTCGGGGGAAGGGTCGACCACAAGGGTCTATTATACGCAACATTACCCTGCATTTCTTCAAGAGGCTGTTTCCACGGCTCGAACACGTGATGAGGAAGATAAACGTTTTAAATAGATTACTGTATTTAAACATACGTTTTGTAAAAATAACAATATGTATGGGATATGAAAGACACGTTTTCAGATCATTTGTATAAAAAATTTGTAATATGCTTGACTTTGGGACCAAACATACCGTAGCATTTGAATCCAGAAGGGTACAATTTTCATCTGCTTTCTGTTTTTTGGAATTCCTTTTCGACATGTTTGTTTCTGGAATTTCACTTCCCAAGATCTGATGGGCATCTGCAATTGAAGGCGCTGTCTGCTCACTTAATTGCTTCATTAACCCAATAGCATCATAGCTTCTGTCACCCGGGCTCATAAAAAGGGCAAGATCCTATCCAAGTAAAGAAAACAAACAAACAAATCAAAGCACTAAAACAACAACAACAACAACAACAAAATACACAGTGAATCCCACAAGTGGGGTCTGGGGAGGGTAGTGTGTACGCAGACCTTACCCCTACCTTATGAACAGCAAAGGGAGGAATAAACAAACAAAAGCACTAAGACATGAGCATAGAAATGCACCGTTATCAACCAAAAACAAAAGAGCATGAATACATAAATATGAAAAGAACTGGCAAACACAATGATATTGGTAACAGAGTAGAACACATAATGTATTATACCTCAAATTCAAGTTCTGTATCATATCTTGTGCTTGGCGGAAAAGAATTCATGAACCATGGAGATTTCCATGCTGAAGGAGATTCAAAACTCCTTTTATAAGGTGTCTCTCCAGATCTGTAAACCAATCATTAGGTCAATGGATCATTAGAAACGGATATGCAGAAAATCTCCTTTTAACCAATCATTATGTAAAATGGACCGATAGGAAAAACTTTGTAGGCAAGAAATGCTATGTTGAGCAAGAAGTGAGAGAAAACAGAACAGAAAGCAACGGAACAAAATATTCAGTACTCTTACATGCTTAAAGTCTCAGCACCAAATCTATTTTCAGAATCTTCAGCTGTATTCCCCAATGCAGCTGATGTAGCTATGACAACACTGCTTCTACGCTTCCCACGTATGTCAGGAGAGCAAACAACAGACAAGCATGAAGTCTCGAAAGAGGACGAAACAATAACTTGATTTGATGCAGCTTCAAGTCGTCTAGCATACTGCTTACCCAGAGCTTTATTACTTAGACTTGTAGCTCTATCACACTTGATCAAGAAACGATCAGGAGATAAGAACAGGTCATTTGAGCTAAGCTCAACCAGAACTCCAGGAGGCTGTTTTACCTGATACCAGGAATCAGAACTCAAAAGCTGTAACTAAGTTAAAAAGAGGATACAACAACAATAACTACACCTCAATCCCAAACAAGATGAAGTCGGCTATATGAATCCTCATTTTTTTCAGTTAAGCTCAACTCATCTCATCATCATACTAAATAAAATAAAAGTGAAAAAAAAGGTTAATTATATATATATAAACAATAGTAACAATAATAGTATTAGAAGTTCTAACACAATAACTAGTCTAAAATCTATTCCCAACTAGTAGATGTCACCTATTTCTTCCATCCTGTAAGTTAAAACGAGGATGCTTTGCCTAAGTAAGCTGAATGGGTTTTATAAACCACATGGTTCAAAAATCAGCCAAGAGCAAATTTGCCTGAATCACATTAAAAAACTTAAAAATTGACTTCGAAAGAAATGCAAATAGCAGAAACAGAAGTGATGAATATCGAATTATTCAGCATCCCGAGACTATCTGTAACCAAGAAAATGTAGCCAGTGGAGAGCTCTGATAGTAACTAAAGACTTCATTCACCATGTGAGATTTAGTACTCCGACTGTGAAATTGCGGGGATATACTTCTTTACAGAAAAACACTATCTTGAATGGAGGTCCTCAACTGTCATGCCATCACCCCATTCCCAAAAACAAAAAGAGCGACGCCAGGGAAGAAAAATATAATGACAAATTTTAACTCACCTTTCCCGTTGCATCATTGGCTCCAGAAATTTCACCCTCCTCTTTTCTTCCATCTTCTGAGGATGGATGTAAATTTTCTTTGTCTTCCATAGACGCCTTTTCATTTGCTGACTCATCAAACATATCGTCTAGTCGGGAAAAGTTTGTAGTCATATTAGAGAATGATTTCTGATTGAGATCGCTTTCAAGCTTTTTCTCACATCTCTTTTCTGACAAAGGCGACAGTAAATGACGATGTCGCTTCTTTAGTATAGAAGGTGTCCCTGTAAAAGTTTTGGCAGCACTTTTCAAGATAGCATCTGGACTATCTCTTGATGGTGAATCCCACAACCTTAATGGAGTAAGGCAGTTCGCTGAAGCCATCATCAACTGCCGGATGCCAAAAGGGCTATACTCTTCCTGTGTATCTGAACCAGATTGTATAAGATCACAACAAAAGAAAGGAACATCCGAGCTAGGAAAACGGGGAGGGTCATAGCATAAAGCTCCTCCATCTTTCTGCTCTCCTTGTACAAATAAATTTTCATTCAGCAGACATGTTTGAACAGTGTTTGATGTAGTTGAGCCAAGATCATTCACAGGAACTATCCTTGAGGAATCTTTCATATGATCTGGGCCTTCAAGCGGAGGATTATGGAACTGATTTAAAACAATGTCAAACACAGGCGATCTATCCTCTGAAGAAAATTGTGAAGGAACAGAAAATGGCTGATGGAATGAAGCTTCAAAATCATCAAAACTTAAAGCATTGCAGTTTTGTGGAACCATATCTCCTACTTCAGGGATCTGATAGTTTGATGATTGGTAAAATAAAGAATATGTAGGTTGACCACAACCATTAACCCCAGTTTCAGACGGAGAACATTGAGGAATTCCTTCTTCGGGGCATACCATCATGGAACCGTCCACAGAAACAAACATTTCGTTGGGCTTATATGGACCCTCAACCACGTTTCCTACATTAGCAGTTGCTACCATGTCATGGTTGTCATTGCCATTTAAACAGTGCATGGAAATCCCTGAAGATTCCTGAATAAACTCCAGAGGAGAAATATTAGGTATGTCATCCCTATTAAACTGCCAATCTTCTTCCATGGAATTGCCCCAGTCATGTGATAAATTATGCTCAAGGAACTTGGAATCCACAAGTTCACTAGGAACTTTTAGCATTGAACAAGAAACATCTTGAAAAACCGGGCTATAGTTCCTACAACATGGAGCAGTGCTGGAGGTTGCATCCTTTTTACAAATTGATTCCTCTGACATCCCACCGTTCTCTCTTATATGCACAAATGTGTTGCCCAAGTCACTTGTAGACTGAGAACAGCCAGCAAAATTCGAGCCTTGACTGCATTCAGGCACTTCCTCCGCTTCCGCTCCTTCTTTGTGAACGCTTTCATCTTCACTATTTTGTTGCAATGTCATAGAAGAAGAAGGGACTGATTGGTTCTGATGGTTGACATTAGGCAGA